AATTTCTTTTTATTATTTTTAAATTTTATATTTATATTTTTATTATTATAAAATGCTATTATATTTTATATTATTTTTTTTTATAGTTAAAAATTAAATTTTTTAATAATATTTTATAATATATTATTATATTTAACTTTTTTTTTTATAAAAATAATAATTTTTATAAAAACTACGCTTTATATTATAATAATATTAATTTTTTTTTAGCAAAATATAAAAAGTTTAAAAATATTAAATATTTTAAACATAAAGCTATAAAGGCTAAAATATTTAAAAGCTTTAAAATATATTTTAAATTTAAATAAATTTAATAATTTTTTTATTTTTAAGCAAGCTTTATTTTTTACTTAATTAATAATAACAGCTTAAAAATATATATTTTATTTTTTTTTTATTTATAAAAAATAACTTTTTTTTTTTATTTATATTAATATTTTATTTAAAAAAGCTAAAAGTAATTAAGCTTGCTATTTATACTTTTGCAGCTTTTTTAAATAAAAATATATAAGCCTGCTTTAAAATAAGCGCTAAAGCTAAAAATTATAATAAAAATTTAAAAGTTGCTTAAAAATAAAATATAACTCTTATATTATAACTTAAATAAAATAACTTATTTAATATTTATTTTTTAAATATAACGATTTTTTTTTATTTTTATATACTGCTAGCGATTTTAATATTTTTTTGCTTAAAATTAATATATTTAAAGTTTATAATTATATTATTATTTTTATTAAAATCTTTATTTTTAATAAAAACTTTATTATTATAAGTTTATATAATAGCTTAAAATAAAAATTAAAATAAAAATTAAAATAAAAATTAAAATAAAAATTAAAATATTAAAATATAAATTAAAGTAAAAGTTATAAATAAAAATTATAAATAAAAGTTATAAATAAAAGTTAAGCTAAAAATTAAAATATTTAAATTAAAAAATAAGCGTTAAAATTTTTAATAGGTTTTTTTAGCTATTAAAATAAAAATAATAATAATTTTTTTTATTTATTATAAGTTATTATTATATAAAAACTACGTTTTTAATAATTTTAAATAAATTTAATATTATTTAAAATAATATATTGCTGCTAAATTATTACTGCTAATACTTTTATTATAATATAACTAAAATTAAATAAACAGGCTAAATAACTATTTTCGCAACACTAAAATAATCGCAAAAAATAACAAAACAGTTAATTAAAACAGCTTTAATAACCACCTGTAATTTTTTTTATATATTATTATATATTATAAAGGTATCTATAAGGGTTGGTACATAGAGTGAAATAACCCCCTGTCGGGTGGCTGAACTAACATGCAGCTAAGTGGGTTTCAGGCCAACGTAGTGAGAGGGCTCGGCCAACGTAGTATGGCTCCTATAACTTCCTAAAGCTTGTCATCAACCCACCTCATTGGGTCTTTTCTACACTAGAGAGAAGCCGATCACTATCTCCGCCTCCCCTTCCTTGGTGCCTTGGCCGTTATCATACATAGTAGTGCACTCGTACACCCATGCAAACTCACTCATTGTTCTAGGTAATTGAGACAAGCCCTATTTACAGTAGATAGATCCTCCTATCTCTATCCCAGGTATTCCTTCATAGATCCGAGTACAGTCAGTACCTGTAGCAATCCGGTGCGGTTCTGTAACACGTCACATCGCCCATTTCGCCTCATCCCCGACCCCATTACCAGCTGCCTTGTGCTCTACGCCCTTGGCTTCCGCCCCTTCACATATCCCAAGTCGTATGATTTATGATTCTCCCCTCACAATGGCTCTCGACTCTCCGATTCCAGATGCTCCGCTGCTGCTCTCGATGCCGACCGAGATCCGCAGTGCCATCTACGAGCTCGTCATCATCAGCGAGTGGCAGCACACCTCACCGGACTACTTCGTCCTTGACCGGCCCTTGCCCGCGCTCTTCCGCGTCAACAAGCAGATCCGGTCCGAGGCCCTGGACGTCTTCTTGCTCAAGAACCACTTCCACGTCTATACGAGCACCGTCGGCCTCAAGTGGTTCGACATCCTCGGCAAAGACGTCGACAGGTTCCGCTTCCTGATTCTCTTCATCGACCTCAATCTCGAGTCATGGCTTAGATATCTCAAGGCTCTTTTGCCCCGCGTTTCAAATTACCTGGAACTGAGGATTCGGAAGGCTGCCGCCAGCTTATCCGAGAAACGGCTGCAGGCCTTTCTGCACTCCGCAGGACTCTACGATAAGCATCGTTGGGCTAGCGAGCGAAATGCCGCCGGCGAGCTTATTTTCAAGCAGGTTCAAGCTTAGTCCCATCTAACGCCCGCTTCTCTTTCTTCTGCTATGGATGCATTGTATCTTCGCAAGGCCATTGTTCGAATTATGTCTTATTTGCAAGCCGATTCTCATGAGTTTGCTACTTCTGCATAATGGCATCTGCCAAATCATGTGGGAGGAACCAAACAAAAAGTTGGAGCTATGTCTATTGAAAAATAAGAGCATGTATGTTGAAGTTATAAGAAGCCTTTTAACGTGCACCATAGCTAACGGGATAGAGACAAAGAGTATGCAAGTTATGTGTCTATGGGGCACTATGGTGTACAGTACTGGTCAGCCCCAGGCCTCATGAACATGAATGCCAATGCTAGGATAATTATATCATCATATGGCACACATACTAGGGAATGCTCATGTTACACGTCGCTACTCAGAACCTCCCTCCTCATTAGATTCGTCAGAAGGCAAAAGGAAGGGAATGGAACTATGTAGCCTACCTTCTCATCTCCAGTTCCGTCTTATCTAATTCTCAATATAGATAATAGATATCTGCACAATATTATTGATTCTATGCCATCTTGAACAGTAGCGCATGGTTATGAATATAAGAAAACATGAAAGAGTCGCAGATATTTCGACAGCTTTAGCAACTCTAATTGTCTGTAAGACCCCCTGAGGGAACTTAAAGGGATAGCTATCCATCTTATCTACCACTACAATCCAGTCTGGCTCATCCACCACCATATCTCTATACATTCAGATCTATTCTTCGACAAGATTGCGAAAAATCTTGTCGCGCCGGCGAAATCTCCATCTCGCAGCCTCTATCCAGCAGCTTCTGCGCCAATACACCTTTCTAGCACCCATTGCGCCCTTGAGAATAGACCCTTATTATCCTTAACGACTCCTCGGAGCCCTCTCAAGATCTCCGCTCAGCCCTCTACGAACCTGTCCATATACCGGCTTTACCACCTGCCGCCGATTTTGATCGACCCGTACACACGATGAGCCTTCTAGCTGTCACCTGTACTGCGTGCCGTTGACATGTCTTATTTTCACGCGATAGACTTTAATAAATTCAATGGCCTCTATTACTATTCTCTACATCATGCTATTGACATCAATTGCGATTTCACCAGCGAATCTAGAAACGTGTAGATTATTGAAAATTTCAAGAAAACATCACACCAGGACTTTTTCCGGTGTAGTACTCGAACGTTTCACTGGAAATCGCGCTATTCCACTTGACGGCTTCACTTGCAGCCTAGTCCCTCTACCACTGGCTCACGTCAACAGGCTTCTACGCTATAAAGTCATTCCGGTATACTACGGCAAAAAAGAGTTTCAGACTTAACTCCTGATTCACAGAAGTGGGGTCTGTTATATGGCTTTTTACTCTAGATGTGACATCGCCTCCGAGTTCATCCAATGATCAAAAGCCTGCACGCCGACGCATGCTCAGGGCTAAAACCAAAACTCTCCCTCTCATTCTAGCGCCCTGCTCCAGAGTGCAAAATTGGAGTGCGACGTGATGACCAAGCTTATGACTCGTATGCCGATCGAGGCTGTCCACCTTACTGCAGTCTCTACTGGACCATACTAACCGGAACATTTGGACACATGATGCTTGTAAGTGAACTCGCTAGGTACTCAGATTCCCTCAAAGATGCAGAATGTGACAAATCCAACCCCCCCATTGTGAACGAAGCGTTAGACACGTTGACGAAGTGCCCTTATCTAGAAGGTGGCCTTCTCAAGGTGGTGTTGTGCGAATCGTGCAAGACAACCGAAAGGAATTCAAACGGAGACTCTGCACAGATGGCACGGTTAGCTATCGTAATATCATAAATGTTATCTGAAAACAATATCTGTGAAACATCTTGAGGAAGGCTATTACGGGCAATTCTTATTGATACGTTGCTAGTCTACGGTGACGAGACGCAAAACTTCGGCTCTGTCGTCTTTCAACCTTAGGCCAGTATTTAGACGGACGAGAACATGGTGAAACGAAATTCTGACGTTAAAAGTCCATTTAACGTAGTTTCTTTATCCTTAATGTCGATCTTTGCACCCCTTAACTCTCGGGTTAACTACTGATTCTTGCGAGACATGACACGAAGATACTTAGACATTAGTTACATGTAACCCCTTATCGCGGCGAAAATTCTGGATCCTGGGGCTAAATAGAACTAGGAAGCTCGAATATGTTCGGACAGTTGATGAGGCCCAGGTCAATGTCCAACGATTATTGGACATGTGCTCAAGATAGAATAGTCTCCATAACTAGCAGGTGAGGACGACACCCTCTCTTCAAACTCCTAGCTTAGTCTCTTGAAATAGAGGTTTATAAAGTCACTATGACCATTGTTAAGACTAGAATATTATTTGTTGAAATTATTAACCACAAGCATAGGACCAGGGACTACAAGTAACAAAACCTAAGCATGGTTTCTTGTAACGTGTGTTTTAATCTAATTACATCACAAATATTAACTCTAACTAGCGCATCAATAGATTAACAGCAGAATATCTTTAAAGATATATCCCTACTATTGTTGCGCCTTTAGAGTTAGGGCTTTGTTAGTGGGGTGTAACCACCAAAGTGCTACCCACCCTTGCAGAGCGAAAGGGGAAGAGAGGAGGCAGATAATGAGATAAGATAAAAGAACCAAAACAGAAAGCGAAGACAAGACAAAATAAAAGTGGAAAAAAAAAAAAAAAAGTATCATCAGACCACTGCTACTCCGAATCGGGGAATCGAACCCCGGGCTTGACGGCACTGTTGCGAAATGGGGCTTTGAGAGCGTCAAATGTTAACCACTACACCAATTCGGATTGAATCGTATCGAAAGCAATGCGCTGCCCACTAGCGGAATCGAACCGCTGATCTTGTCATGGCATTAGCAAGACGAGTTGCCTAGGAATACTAGTGACACGCTATACCACTTAGCCAAGCGGGCATTTCCGATTGGAAGATAATTTCGTTCAGCTTCTCAAGCATTTTGTGACAAAAGTTGTCGGGAGAGGATATGTTTAGAAACGGCGGATTAGGTAATGTAATATCCACGATACTCTGCACACAGTATCCACCGGATCTGAGGTACTGTAAAAAGAAAACCGCCAGCTGGACCCTAAGATACTGCTAGCGTTCGGTAGATTCTACATCGGGTAATAACCGGGAAACCGATTTACAATGCTCAGTGGACCATCCCAGAGACACCAAGCACACTATGATCATACGTGTACGTATACTTTTAAGTGTTAAATACAACTATTACACAGCCAATACATCACCGGAGTACTTAAAATATGCCTAGACACCCGTAATGGTTGAAGAAAACAAAGCTGTTTCTCCTGCAAAGGCTTCAATAAGCCTACCCTATGAGAAGCTCATGATAAAGGGGTTGGAATCCTAGATCTATAGCGTGATTGGACATATTACACAATCCGTTGGTATTGAAAATAGCACACTCAGTATCGCGGCGGAACAACCCGAGCATGCCTTGCTTCTTATCTTCTCCTTGACATGCATATCTGTCGCGACTTAAAACCCCCTATTATATTTTAGAGGCTAAAGGGTGTTACGAAGTGCAAGTTCATATAAATCCGCCAATGATTTATGACGAGGCCTATCCTCTACGCCCTACGAAAGTCTTATTTTGAAAAAATTACAACGCCACATCAGTTTCCAACACCCCCAGTAAAATGCAAACATAACAGTTTCCCTGTATCAACTAGTTCCCCTTCAAAGCGAGCACTTTGGTGAAACACATCATAGAGAAAATCCTAGGTAGTTCGGTGTATGAGCTATCCTCAGAGGAACATAAAAGATCGCTGGGAAGTCATGAAGATCTATAACGGGGTTGAAGCTCTAATAATATATAAGAAATGATGGGATATGGTAAGCAATATTGAACAATTGAACACTCGGTATGCAGGGGCCCGCTAGGCAGTCTCACCGCTTCCGCCGCCTTTCGCCACCTTCAGTTCATGAAACTTGGTATTCCACTCTATGTCCCATACCCTCTATATACGTCATAGCCCAAACCTCAAAGCCTTGTATTCAACGGGTAAAATAGCTCTCGATTTATTTGTAACCGCTTAACTAGTTTTTCGACCAAGCTGGTGATTCCGAACATCTTTATCTGGCAACTCGTCAAGACGTATACTCATTTTGAGGAGCCAAGAGTCCAACCTTTTCTCCCCAGCGATTATACGTTGGTTCTGGCACTCGGGGACTTTGCTCTAGATCATCTCGGGTAGAATAAATTGTTTCGGTCATTGTCTCCAAGGGGATGGTGATTTGTTGGCTACTCTCTCTCCTCGTCACCTCTTCCTTGTCGGGATTCGACCCCGAGAAAAATTTAATGGTGTTAGTAACGAGGGGTGATTTCAATGTGCGCTGAAGTAGGGGGTTGAATATTGGCAAGCTGCCACAGATGACCCCTACACCGGAATGAACTACGGTCCAGAGCTCAGCCGACGATGATGGTCGTTGACTCCCTGGTGCATAGCCGACGATTACTCTGACAAGTCCTGTGGCTATCACACTATAACAAAGTTTTAGTCTCGAAGGACAAGTATTAATAACGCAGAGATAAATAAGTGATAACTCACAAGCTGCCAAGAAGAAAGATACCCGAGATAATAGCTTTCCGCCTCCACGACAACTGCAACGCTAGCACTGCCCTGATCGGAAGAGTCAATATAAGCACGTCTAGAAAAACCTCGGTGCTCCCCGCAAAGACGAAGAATGTGTTCAAGTTGAAGCAATATTTTGGGTCCAATATATTGCTAGTCCAGTATTTGGAGATAGGAATGCAGTTGACTATCTGGGCCACCGTGGTTCCAATCCACCATCCGATGACTAGACCGGCCGTGATGAACAACTGGTATCTGAGCGCGGACCTGGCGTGGAAGATCCGGTAGTACATATATAGGATACTCAGCTTGACTGAAGCGTTGATGGTGTAGTAGATGACGGCCGTAACGAGATTTATTTTTAAATAGAAGATATCCTCGGGTGTTTCGATGTAATTCGGATCAAAGATCTGTGTGGTGTTGTTTCCATCTGGAGCAACGACAGCCGCTTGATGAGCGGGTATCGAATCAGCTTCCTATAGATTCTTTGGCACTAATCGCAGCTATAATCAACTCTTGATGATGTGATTATGCTCACCAGAAACAGTTAGGGCGATAACAGTTGACCCTGTGATCGCCGACAGAAGGAGTAACCAGTCATCCCATTTGAGACCTTGGCGAGCGAATATGCGAGTGTAGAATCGCAGCGCCACCGAAATCCACCCCAGCACGAGAATGATTATAGCGGCCACAAAAGTTGGTACAGCAGCAGCCATGAAGAGCCATGAACATCAATAATGACTTGTCGATTGATGCCGACAGTTGAGAGCGGATAAGTTGAATTTCAAGGGAAACCCATGATTGATTCTGGAATTTGAATGCATTGGAACTAGACACTGCTGATCAGCCACAGCTAGGTCTTCGCTTACCTACTATTATTATTCTTGCATGGCGTTTTGGTATGACCTCAGACTACAGTACGTACTGGTAGGGTCGGCGCCGAAATCTACTCGCCAAGCAACTTGATCGGCGCGAAGGCTTCCCACTGCGATGGGTAGACCTAGCGGTTAACCGCAATATAGATCTATCAACTAATTCTCTAAAAAGAAGTTTTTTAACTGTCTTTACACTGAATATCAGTATTATAATTAGTTATTAGTAGATTACTAAGTTAGCAGTAAAATTATTTACATATGTTCCGGCAGCAGTTTTGAAGTCCTACTACCGGCCTGGCCCGTAACAACTACGAACTTCTTCTCCGTCACTCAATATATTATTGGGTGTCTGAACCGGTTGTGTCACTTGACTATAGCTTGAGTAGGATTACGGACAAAGCCATGGCTGTATGATTGGTGGGGCAAAAGATATGCCGAGCGAATAAACGATGTTGCAGGTTACCCTTCTATCGAATACCATACACATGCTGGGGCGGAGGTAGGTGCCAACTTGGGGAAAATACAAGACAATATATCGCTTCGTTTTGATTGGTCTGTTTCTTGGTTCATGGGCGAGGTATACTACGTAGAGGGGGGTATATGTGTATATTTGGGGATCAAAAGGCCGGGGGTGCCGAGAAGCAGGGAAATGTAGAGTTATTCACCAATAAGCTTCATAATAGGATAGGAGTCGCCAACGTTATGTGGGCATATGGCGCAAATCCAGCGTCAGCAATCTACATATCGAGGAATTCGACATCTGTCCGCGTGGGCAGAGGTATCGAATGTAAGCTGACCACCTGATACAAATAGATTATTTCAACTTTTATTTATACTCGATCAACGATCTATAATGGACGCCCCCTGAAAGGAGTATTAATTAACGATCTTGTCTAAGTTTTGTTGGTAAGGGTTGCGAAAACAAACATGGCAGAAGAAATCACTATGCTGATGCCGCTAGAATGCTCCCTTATATGTGCAACAAAAAAGACCATTGCACCCGTGTACGACTTTTGCAAACAGACTAGCTCTTACATGGCGTATTTTAGGCTTTCTAACTGATTGGATGGGGTAACCATAACTGATTCCCTTGTGTCTGTTCAAAATCAGTGAACACGCGGCAGAATAAGGGGGCAATCAATACACATACATGTACTGGCGGGGGCAGTATTCTGCGCAAAACAAATACAAGCTAGCTCAGCCGCGGGTGCCTAGCCATAGGGTCAGAGACTAGAATATTTTGTGAATCCATTCAGAACCAATGCAAGGGAGCTCTCATACGAGGTTAACCCTTACCAATTGATTTGTCCCGAAGCAAGGGAGATGTACTACTCTTGTAATATTCCGTATAATCTACTTGTTCTGATACTGTTATACATACCGTGGGATGTTCTCATACTCATTTGTACCAATATAATGAAGCACTCATGTAGATAAAATGTTCTAAGCAACAACAATAAGTCTCACATGATCCATACAGTGGCTCATCAGTTCTATCACTGAGCATGAAAGCTGCCCTTAGCTGATGCAGCCGTCCGGCCCGTCCCTGTGATTGTACACTCAACTATCCACCCACAAGTCTTATGGGCCTTCGTAAGCAAGGATCGCAGCTTTTGTTGGCCACAGACATCTCTTTTGTTTGGCTCCTATAGATCGATACATTAAGAAGCTGAGACTATAGCCATATGTGACTATACACATTTACCCAAATAATGCGGCCAGCTTCAACCATATCCAATGCTTCCACACGCATCGTCCCAGTCTGAGCTGATAGAGATACCTATGGTAGAGCTTGTGTGATAATTCGATGAAAAAAATTTTTTTTTTAACGTATCAGAATGCCCCAAATTATCAGTTAGGTGGGCTCCAAAACACTGTACATGTGAAGCAAGGGAGAGCCGCGTACGCGTATACCTGTGCATGTCGCGAGTTGAATTATGCCACTGGTTGTGTTTGAATGATTGTATTATAAATCCAAGGGCACTGGACTATTGGAATTTACTCCCCTATCTCACTCTCCACTATCCATTTTCATCTCCGTAATACCATCAGAACCCTCACACACGCCAGAGAAGCAAGCGACCAATATCACAATAGCCATCATGCCGGGCAGTTCCAAACAAGGTCGATCAAAATCGAATGCATCCAGCAGTGGATCGAAAAAGCCAGTTCTATCGGCTTGGCTTGTTCGCACTCTCAGAGATCAGGAATCCATTCATCTGCCAAGCCTATCCTCCCGGCATCTATCCTTTCCCTGTCGGATCTGTATCGCCATTGGCAAACCGATCACACCTACTACGGCCGACGGTCAGAACTTGA